CAGCAGTTTATTTTTATTTCAGACCTCCAGGAAGTCAAACTCTATTTGTAACCGGCTGTTGCTTCGTTTAACCAAAAGCAGAAACTTCACTTTAGTTTGATTTCATTTCTACAAACATTACAAACAAGTTAATGTTCAGTAAAAACTTTTTTGATGCTCTAAAGATCCAGTTACACTCACGGGTGGAAAACAAGTATGTCAGCTATGTGTACTTTACTTCAGTTTTTCCATTTCCAGCTGCTTTATTCTTGAACTGCAACATTGCACTTTGTGTTGCACTTCATCCATCCGACAGCTGTACCCACAGATTACTCTTCATTTTATCAGGCAAAAAGTTTATTTTAAAAAAAGTTATGTACAGATTAAACTGTGTATAAAATAACAAAAAAGTATTAAAATAATGAACAGTATAAAACTCACCTGGACTACTGCAGCAGCAGCAGCAGCAGAGAAAGAACCTGAACAGAAATGAAGGAAAATCTGATCCAGACAGAGTTTCAGGATAGAATCAGTCAGGTGTGAGACACACCTTGAGACATTAAATGAACCTCTGCTATGTTGTTACTGTGCGACCCGTCCAGGGTGTCCCCTGCCTTCGCCTTCAGTCAGCTGGGATAGGCTCCAGCCCCTCCGCGACCCTAGTGAGGATTAAGCGGTGTATAGATAATTGATGGATGGATGTTGTTAATGAGATAATCTGATGACTTGTTTAAGTCCTATGATAGAAATGCAAAGTGTTTCTACACAGTAGCAAAGAAAATGCAAAAGGATGATTCGGCTTTATTTCAGCCGGCTATGTTTTCCATTAATGTGTGTGATTGTGTTGCAATCACCACCTCCGTTGTGCATTTTCAGAGAAACGTGGACAAAACAAAAACAAAAAACCTGCATGTGAAGATGACTGTGTCGGTGATCAGGTGAAAGCAAATGTCCTGGATGGAGATGTCTAATTTGGTTTGCAAAATGTCTGTTCCATGCAGCCAGCTTCCCTTCTGTCAGACTCAAGATATTTGATGTAAAAAAAACTTTTTTCTTTTTTTTTTAAAGCTGCAGGGAGCTTGTTACAGTTTTAACCCACATTCATGGACAAACTTGAGTGTTGGATTGCAGTGTTCTTTGATAAGAATAATAGATTTATTTTTGTTAAACTCGCATAGTAATTTATAAAGAAACCTAAAAACTTACGTGACACACCTTGCCCAGCAAAACTCCACTTTTTAGCCTTAAAAGCTGAA